CATGCATATTATATGTTTTTGATGTATTGTAACAAAGTTTCGTGTTTTTTCTTTTTTTTTTTTTATGACCAAAGCAAAAGGCCGGTGTTGGTTCTTCAGAATGACTCTCTCTACTCCCAGAGGCGTCCATACACCAGTGAAGATGAAGCCTGGAAGTCCTTTCTTGAAAATCCCCTTACTGCAGCCACCAAAGCCATGATGAGTATCAATGGTGATGAAGACAGTGCAGCTGCCCTGGGATTGCTTTATGACTATTACAAGGTACTTTGACAGTAGTTGTTTCACTTGTATGAAGAAGTGAAATTCTAACAGCAAATTACATGAAGCTGTTTTTGTAGAAGCTTTAAATGAAGTGGAATGAGGACGTTTTGTTGCACAGTGCTAAGGTTTTGTGGTGTCTGTTTTTTTTTCCTGATAATACCTTCGTTAAGCTCAGATGTCATCTGTTCTGGAGTTTCTGGTGAGAAGCTGGAGTACTCCATATAGCTTTGCCTAGAGATTCACAATCTGTAGGGTGCAATATTTAAGTGGTAAAGAATTAAATGTCTATGTATGTGGAATAGGGACTGAGTTTTTGCTCTTTTTGTACAATCCCTTGTGTGATGGAGCCATAGTTTCTCACTGTAGGTCCTAGGTACTACCATAAGACAAATAAAAGTATATTTATAATATTAGAAAAATTCCTGCCTAAAAGCTAAGCACCAAATCCTTTGACTGTAAATGGGAGTTGTGTTGGTAATTCAACGCTTCTGTTGCTGACTACCTTGTCAAACCACTGTGTACTCAAGCTCTTCCTAAAGACTTGCCCATTTCAGAATGTCCAGAACAGGCGGATTAAACCAAACCAAGCCAGTAACTCCAAGTTCCTCCTCTCTGGGCTTTCCTATTATATCTTTGCCATTTAAGGAACGGATGCAGCAGGACTGTGCAGAAACAAGGGTCCATTTACAAAATCCCAGCAGAGATTCTTCATTGGGTGTCTCAAGTGTCTTGAGCCCACTTGTCAATTGTTGACAAGCCAGTAGAAGTATATTACTACTGTACAAGTATATCTACTTGTTAGATGCAAAGTACATGCTTATCATTAAATATTTAATTAACGTTTCAAGCATTATAATTGTATATAGTCCCTTGGTGTATCATTGTGTTTTATGATGCTTAACACAGATCTCAGTTTAGCTATTAATGGGTGCATCTACACATGCTATTAAGGTGATGAAATAAACTCTGGTGCAGTCTGTACCAGAGTCAGCTGCTCCCAGGCACAGAATCTGTACATGCGCCTGGGTCTGCAACACTGAGCCAGGGTGGAGCAGCTTTGGGCTGGCAGGTTGCTTGGGGGAGGTGGGGGTCAGCCCTAGGTTCCAGGTGGCAGTGGAGGGCAATGGAGGGGCTGGCTGGGGTATGAAGATGCTAAGTGGCAGGCAGCCCCTGCACTTTAGCACCCTTGTGCCCTAGCCAGCCCCTGTCAAGGTCTACACATGTGTTTTGGCAGAGCAAATTACTCTACTGTAGGTTAGTACTGTCTCCAACAGTACTGTCTTACAGCAGAATTAATTAAACTTACTGCGCCCTAATACCAGCACACATGTAGACCATGATGCTTTACGCAGGAGCTAATTGGTCAACTCCACAGTAAAGCGCATGTGTAGATGCATCCAATGTGTACGACAAAAATGCCACACAATAATTGATGCAAGTGTAGTTACTGTGCCACTTTTCTGTGAGAGATCTCTCTCTTCCTTAGCAAATCCTTGCCTTCATTTATTTGTCCAATGAAAAAGCCTTTCTTATGAGAAGGATTTTAATTCACAAATCAATTTTAAGTTTTCATACCTGAAGAATTATAAAGAGAATTCTGATGGAGGTTTGGAACACAAGGGATTTTAATGAAGTGTAAATGATTTTGCTGTTGATGAATATATTAGTCAAGGTTTCTTCTGTAGACTGTATTAAAAGTTTGGGAGGACAGGTATTCAGAATGTGTATGCACAAATAAAGTCTGTATAAATGTAAGAGGATTTTATCTGACGGAGAGACTAAGACAAAGAGGCAGAGTTTGGGCTTTCTGTGTAGTGGGTAGGAAATTTAAAAGGCCAGGGTTTATTTAAAGATACTTAAAGAAGAAACCATCACACCTAAATGTTTAATACAAAATCTTTAACTATCTCCTGACTCATGCTACTAACAAATCTTATAGAAAAATAAATCTGAATTAAAATATCAAGTTTCAAGTGTTCCAGAAGTGATTACTGACTTTTGGTTGCCCCATCAAGCAGCATCTTGAAGCGGCTACACGCACGGTGGTGAACTTATCTGCTCTTTATCATGTCTTAACATAGGCCCCCCAAAATGGAGGCTTCTAAAATCACTACTTTTTAAGAAATCTACCAGCATGGTTCTAACATGCTTTTCTAGACTATATGCTACAGAAATACCATGGCAGTTTGAAGGATTTAATTGGAAGCTATTTAAAAAATATACTGCTTCTATAAGGGTTTTGCTGTGAGCCTATAATTACTATTACCGGGGGGGGGGGG